TCGTCGTAGATCTCCAATATCGCAATATGCAACGCAAGCAACCTCCCCAGCTCAAGTGGATCCTCGAGTGGTGAATCACCAGGATCCGCCTTCGATCCCCACATCACGCGCGAGGAACTTCATCACTACGCCACGCGCCTCTTCCGCCGTGTGGGCGAGGCCACGGATGCTCTGGCCATCCAGACTCTTCCCCGAGACTCGGATCCGCCGTCAGTGGAGCACTAAGATCGACTGGACGACCTCCGCGACTACATCCAGGAGCGAGATCGGGTGATTTCATTCATGCAGCAGTCAATCAACGGTCTTTGGGCAGATCGAGACGAGCTACAAATTTCGCAGGACTCCAGCACTCAAGTTCCCAGTGATCCACAACTGCCTATTGCTGACGTACAACCCCTCGAAGGGCAGATCGTGGATCTGGATTTTTCAGGTCACTCAACTGTTACAGGAACGAGAACACACCGGGGCGGAGATCCTGGATCTGCAGGAGCTGCGCGATACGGCAGATCGCGCCCGCGATCAAGCCACTGATCAGTTGAAAGTTACCGAAGGGGTACTTCGCCGTACGTGTCTGACCCTGGATCGGACCGAGGCAGATCTGTTGGTCGCCAAACAAGTCGCGGCTATAGTCTCGCCGGGTCAGCCGTCGTCAGATCTCCAAACCGAGCTGGATCACCCATTAGCGGAGCGCGTCGAGCTCCAAGATCGTTTCGATCAAGTCTCCAGAGAGCGTGATACCTTGAACATCCAAGTCCAGGCGAAGGATCGTGAGGCTGATACCGTCCGAGATCAGATCCAGAAGAGACGGAAGAGATCAAGTGGGAGAAGTCGCGCTGTGACCTTCTGCGCGTCAATCTCGCCGGTCCGGTTAAGCGCGAAACGGGATATCGCGATGCGGGCAAAGATCTGAGTATGTTCCATGTTCTTTGTCTGGATCATACCATCTCGCTAACTCATTCCTTTCCCCTAGAACACGACGTCACCGTTGCCCGGACCGCGTACGCGAACGCGGATCGCTCGATCACGGAACAAAAAGCCAAGATCCTGGCTCTAAACCGTCAGCTGCTCTGTTTCAATCAGGAGTGCACGGATCTGCGGCGAGAATTACGCACGAAGCTGGAGATGTTGTCTACCGTGGCCGCCGGGATGGTATCGAGCCCTCCAACCGCCCAAGTCTGTCTCGATACAGATTCGGACAACGAGCAGTCTGAGATTTCTCCTGATGATCCAGAGAAATTGGATCGAGAGCAGCCTGACCAAGAGAAGCCTGATCAGGGTCCTGACTACACATCTCCACCAAACGGTTCCGATGAGTCTCCTTCCAGCGACAGACGTCAGGATCTTCCGACTGGTAAGCGGTCTCGAGCTCCTTGTCCTTCTCAGGACGCGGACCGTCCTTCCAAGCGCAATTCCCCAATGGCTGAAGATCACAAGAGGCGACAGACGTCAGGATCTTCCGACTGGTAAGCGGTCTCGAGCTCCTTCTCCTTCTCAGGACGCGGACCGTCTTTCCAAGTGCAAATCCCCAATGGCTGAAGATCACAAGAGCGATCTGGATCGCGAAGAAGATCCGGACAACTGCGACTAGGGTGGAGGTTCTGACGCCGAAGAGACGCCGGATCCAGGCCACGCGCTGCTCGATCAACTTCTGGAGAAGGATGATGGCGCTGCAAGTCCCGTTCCAACTCCTGAACCCCGTTATCTGACTTACGAGAAGAAAGGATCAGGGAAGTCTGGTGTTCCCGCAAGCTCGGATCCCGCCTCCAAGTCAATTTCTAAACCTAAGTCTCGATCCACCGTTGATCCTAAGTCCTCCGAGAACGCGGATCCGGAGTCAGAGGATCACGGGTCTGACGCCGACACTTCGGCAGAGGGCGACAATGACGAAGTTCTGGATGACATGTTCCAAGCCCAAACACATATGGCTCTTTCTCGATCCAGATCGGATCAGAGGCGACACGATCACGCTGCTCCTCATCGCGCCGGTGCTGGCGGAGCTGAAGATCCTGGATCGGGGGATGATTCTGATGGTGGCGACTGGAGCAATGGCAGTGGTGGCGGCGGTGGCGGATCTCCTGTGGATCAGGCTGAAATGCCTCTCCCTTCCACGATGCTTCTACGTCGTCTGTTTGCCGCCGACCACGAGTGCATTCCTGGCCGCCAGCAGTCCCGTCAGTATAACATCGTTGATGTGGATCCATGGGTGATCCAGAAGATCAACACTTTGACGATCATGACCATGACCCTGGAAGTGCTGTCTCGTGCGTTACCATTTCGCCCCGAATGGATTTTTTCCAGTCACGTTCCTCGGGTGGCCACCTCCAAGATCCGATCAATATTGCAGCCATCTGAGCACGGGCTAGAACGTTCGCGACCGTAGAACGTCCTCGCTGGAGCCAACCCGATGTCTTTGAAATAACGGTCGACGGTCGTCTAGGATTCCTGATCGAGAGGTATTCCGCGGTGGAGTTTCAGGATCTGATCGCGTACTGGGAATCCACGCATCGCTTTCCAGTGTCACCGGCGTTGATGCACAACGATCCTTATCTGGCGCTCTTTGTAGTGGAGAGGAAGAATCATCGATCTCACGCTGGCGCCAGGTGGAAGCAAATTTTGCAGCTTTTCTTGATCGCCAGGCGCGAGGATTGGTGTGATCTGGATCTGTTGCTGGATTCGTATTTCCTTCACTCCCCCAAGCGAACGGATGAAGTGGCCTGGTATCCTGGTATTGAAGCTCGCAGTGCCAACCTCGCGGATCCACAATTGCACCGCCGTGAATCCGCGGACCTGATCGAGGTTCTTGCTGAGTGTGACGCTGCGGATCCTTGGCGCACCCACTACCGACTGCACCGGACAGGCCTTCCAGCCCGCCGAAACGCGCGCCTCGCGGGCAGGTTCTTCAATATGGCAGCCTTGTACCCCAACGCACCGCCACTTCGCCCGCCGCAGTGATCCTGACATCTCTTCGTGCATTTCTTTCAGATCATCGCTGTTAACCGTAATACATATTACTTTCTTCTCCGATCGGGGTTCGCTAGTATTCCTGGGTTCTGCTAAGTTTCTAATCATGTTATTTCATGCAGATCTTCACTCCACTACCTCGACACTTGTCATCCGTCATTTGATCTCTTATTCCCCAGATAATATAACTCTAGATCCACATTCGGACTTCACTTCTGCTCACCCCATATCCATCTCTGAATCAATCTCTTTCCCCATAGATCCTCAATCGGCACATCGTCATATACAAAGTTATGTAAACCCTGTCCTCCGATCTGCAACCTCCCTGCAGATCCATCAACCTTCAACCACACCGATGACCAGCTCACCAGTGTGGATCCAGATCGCACAGTTCTTCGTGAGACTGCATCACACTAAACCGGTTCCGATTAGTTCGATCTCGCAGGAACCCATACCGAAGAGCACCAAAGTTGAGGTCAGCTTCATCCACCCAAGTTGGAGCTTCATATCCACGCCAATGTACCAAAAATCCTCGGTAGATCGGTCCATATCTAGTCCGCTAGCCAGTTCTCATATCGGATATCTGACCCACCTCATATTCATCTGGGTCTCGACCTTGGATCCAGCTATCGTCAGGTAGGAGAGCTTCATCGAAGTCAACCCGATCTGTATCCGAGACCTCTAGGCGAGCTACCGGTCGATCTGGGAATATCTTGATCAGTTTGATCTTTGAGACGTGCCCTACCGGAAAGCTGCTATACGTTGATCCTGCGATTTCCAACCTCACTGCATATTCCCCCATCTTCTCAGCAACGCAAAATGGTCCATGCCATAAGTGCGCCCGTTTCTTAGCGTCACTCGATCTAAGTACAACCAGACTCTTGATCCAGCCTCTACAGGATGTGGATGTATCAGATCAGTATGGATGTCGGATCGATCAGCGATAGCTTCCCGTAAACGCTGGTTCACTTGTTCTCGAGCTTACCGGTAGTACTTTTGCATCTGATATCGACACCATCTCGGATCTCGATCGTACCTGCGAGTGCTCCCCACCGCGATCACCGCCTCCAGAGTAGATCTAGGATCCCAACCATGTATCATGTAGAAAGGGGTTTCACCTCGGATCAGATCCCTTGCGGTGTTGATCGCGAAGGTGAGCCGTTCGGCATATTCATCCCAATCACGTTGATCCAAATCCTGCACATACATCTTAAGAGCCCTGGTGGTCGTCTGGAACATACGCTCTGCAGATCCATTAGCTTGGGGTCGATAAGCCATAGTAGCACGTCGGCGTTGACCCAAGATCTTGTTGAAGGACTTGAAGAAGTCAGACATAAAGCCTGGCTCTCGATCATTTTGGATCACCTCGCTCGCACCAAATCTGCGGAAAACGCATTGTTCGTAAGTGTCAGCGATCGTTTGTGCAGATCTAGAGGTGCTGGCCTTGGCGATCACATATCCAGAGAATTGATCCACGAAGATCAGCAGTTCTGTGTTGCCATTGAAAGATCTAGGCAGTGAAGGTATGTCATCCATGGAAATAATCTGGAATGGGTATGTTACCGGGTGACTCACCCTGGATCCGGCGTCGTCCTTTGCCCGTTTCACAATCAACACATTATCCCACATATCGCTGTACGCTCTCATACAGCCCTCTCCAGTGGAAATAATCGCGGATCCGGTCATAGGTACGACCGATTCTATGATGGCTACCCTGCACGCTCGTGTGGACGTCATGCAAAATGTCCTGTTGAAGCTTCTCAGGCACCACCACTCGCATGAACTTGTCTCGATCCGCGGCGGCCTCCTTAGTCGTCGGGTAGTAGAAAAGTAAGTCCGACTGATCCGCTTCATAATTCATGGCAATCCAAACACCTTATCCTCTTCTTGTGTCATATCTCGGATCTCTCCAACAAATACTTCATCAACCCTGAGATTCACGATTCCTCATCCAGCGCTTGCCGGATCAGTTCTCTCACAACTTTCTCGCGCAATCAATCTGGATCAGACCCAATACGCACTCCAGATCTAGCTTTAGATCGGGTCGTTACAGCAGATATCTGGGCGATCTCGTCTTCGATCTTCACTATCAGGATCTCATCCAACCTGTTCGAGGTCACTAGATCCTGGAACTCCCTTTCAGATTCGACCTCGATCCCACATTGTCGCTGCAGATAGAGCTTGCTAAGCTGTCAGCATTCCCGTTCCAATCTCGTTTAACATGTAACAGCTCGTGATCTGGCCAAGCACGTAGTCGATCCAGAGCCCACCGGCGTAGCTGTTTCAAACCCCGAGCCTTACAATCGATCTCACTTCGTACTTGTCGGATCACCAGGTTCGAGTCTCCACAGATCACTAAACGTCGTGCATCCGGATCTTCCAACAGATTCAAACACAACAGCAGTCCATGATATTCCACTTCGTTCACTGTTAGCCCTTCCGGGTAGCCAGATCTAGCCTTTAACACTCTCCATTCAGGTAATTTCCACAAGATCGCGCTATAGGCGCCTCCACCTCTCTTGGCACGGGGGGATCCATCGAAACTGACGGCGTACAATTCCTCGTCGCGTCTAATAGTGGGGATCGGAGTGTGGATCTTGCGCCGTGGCTTCTTTTTAAGGGCAATCGAGATCAACACGTTAT